TATATGTATCTAATACAACAGAGAGCACAATATTGTTCTTGCATTACCATATTATTGGGGCTCTTCAGCTGTGTGCGACCTTCGGGTATATTTACCTTCAGAATATATTTCCACCTACGTATACATTTATGTTTACCGGAGCTGATGTAAATTGGTTTATGTTGACGTTTACTTTGCATCCATTAATACTTTCTCAGCAATAAGCTGAAATCAAAGCGATTCCTTTTTTTTAGTGAAATTGATGTATTCAATTATTTTTCATGACTTTCTAATTTATTACCATAACTTATAAGTTATTTCATAAATTTATCTAGTACTAGTTTTAAGATAATGTCATTACATGTTTTATAATATAATAATAATTAAATATAAATTATAATAAATAATAATTAATAATTCTAATTCGCTTTGTCACCATCTATAAAGAACGTGACCTGGACCCCTTCCGATCGATCCCACGTTCATTTGAAACAGGGATCTAAGATACGACGGCTTGAGCCGAGTTCGAACCCCTAGCGGTGCCCTCAGACTAAAGTAGTATCTGTCAGGCGGGAGTTGGCCTTCAGCCGCTCCATAAGTCCTTCCGCTGGTTTGGAGTACCATGCTTTCGTCCCTATCGTCCGGTGAAGCTGTAAAGGCCAGCTGCAGCCAATAGCATTAGAGAAACCTGAAATTAAAAAGAGACCTGGATCTTTGAACACAACAACGGACGTTACTTAAATAATATTATAATGGAAAATATCTCATTTATATATGTATATAATATTTAAAGAAATCTATGTACGTAGCAATTAATCCTTATTTCTCATGGTTATGCTGTAACATGAGAATAACTTCATTTTTCATTGAAAATTGTTATGAGACTTAACAACTAAGTACTAAACTTGAGGCGTTCTCTTGATACGTTTGTCAACGTCTGTCGGGTCAGCCATTTATAAATATTGAATATTGACAGATAAATTCAGACGCTGCGACACGTCGCGTCGGTAGTAAGCGCTCTCAAAAAGCCTTGATCTCGATATCCTTGTCATTTTCAACGGTCGATCAATAAATATGCTATTATTTTTCTGAAGTACATTTAAAAAATCATTGTAAATTATTAAATTGACATGTAATCTCAGAGATATGAAACCATTAAGATGTCAAGATTAAAGACAAACATCAGATACGGCTGATGGCGACCATTTTGTAGAACAAAGTGTCTCATAAACTAAACGGGTTCTTGGTAAATGTAAAAAATAAAAAAATCCTTGTAGTAACCCGTCGCGTGCCATCATTGCGTTAAATTAAAATATTTTATGCTGCCGACTTGTTATCGTAGATGGAGACAAATCTGATATATTTTATAGACCGCGCGCGTATAAACGGAGTAACTAGTTTTATTTTATGGATGATAATGGAATGATGCACCCGCCCGCGCTAACGGTTTACGCTGGCGAGGCACCAGTGGAGGATGATAAGATGAGCATGAAGTCAGGTCAGTTAGCCCATCGTGACAAATTCACCATGAATTTATAATGATGATTTCCAGGGGGAACCGCGTGGAGGTCAACCTGACATGGTGCATTCCTAGCAATGGGGTCAACAGTCCACATTACAAACAATTCCGTTCCCCCTCGGAGTAACTAGTTGCCCATGCTCACTATTATTTTCTAAGACTTAATAAAAAAAGATAATATTGGGGAGAGTGCTCCAGCTCACTATCATCCATGAGTGGTAAAATGTTATTATGTTTTACTTAGTCTGATTTTTACGTATACAGCATAATGGTTAGACTGTAGTGAGGAAACTTGAAATTTTGAATCTAAGTTCTTTTTATAATGTGGTAAGAATGGTATTCCAGAAATTTCCACCCGAATGTAAAGTTGCGATGAACATCTAGTTTTAATGTAGGTCAAGAAAATAACCAGGTATAAAAAAACCAGGTAGACATACTCATTGTATAGCACAGACTATAAACCAGCTGAAAACAGAATACAAAGAAAATCGCCTTATTAGAAATATGTGATGTCAATTTATTAAATAAGAGGGGTTTTCTAATAAGTCAGTACAAAATCTAAGTATCATTGTAATTTAATTCATATAAACTTTACTAACTTAAGATCTAAAATTTCTGCTGTTTAATAAGTTAGGAAACATTTGAAATAACTATTGGTATTGAAAAAGGCATACCATACCTTGTAAGGAGCCGAAAGGCGTGCTACAGAAGATAAACATCTGTACAGCTGTGTTAAAGCTTGCCAAAGACTACGATCCTAAATAATATTATACTTTAGACATTGAATTAGACGACTACCTGCTTGTTACCTTTCCACGTAAAACTATCTTGCATTTCCTGTATTAACCGATGTTACTGAAATAGAAATAATCTTACTTCAAATAAACTTAATATAAGCACTTTTGAACAGTTATATTTTTTATTCTACTACTTATTTGGAACGCAAACTCAGACACAAGAAGAACATGCGAGAAACTTGAAAAACTCTTTTAAATAAATGTTATTCAGAATTATATTTATAATGTTATGATTACTGAATTTTGTATGAATACAAACGGCCAAATAACAAAGATGATATAAATAAATGAGTAGGTACTATTAAAATAAGATTTTATCTGTATCAAAAATATTATATATACATTAATATTTTTATTATAAAACTAGGATCCCAACCGCATCCATTCTCGATAATCTCAAAAACGACTGAACTTATTTTCATATGGTTTCTATGCATCAATGGAGTGACTTATGGCAAAGGTTTAGGTGTACAATTTGTTGAGATTTTGTGTAAATTTATTGAAATACCCAATACATTTTATAGAATTAGGTGTTCTTTTACGGATATCTATTTCACTTTACGATATACAAATATCCAGGCCTACCCTAGGCGGTAGTGTAATATAATTTAACATATATAGGTATTTTAGATTAACATAGGATTTTATGAAATTCCAGTGGACAACACTGTTGGATATAGTATAAACTAATTATAAGAAGGTTAGAGTAAATTCAGATATCAAAATAGAAATTAATGCTTAGTAATTTTTTTGCCTCTTCGACATAGTACTTGAGTAAGACTAAGAAATGATCCATAAAATTAAATCCGGTCGTTGTAATGAAGTCACCTAAATGTAAATGTGGCTTATAAAAGCAGATTATATCGTAGCTTGTAAAAATGGATAAGAAAAAAAAAATGCGCGCCTATAAAAAAATCTAATAAATCTGTGAAATTGTTCGGAAGGCCGTTATATCGTGGCAGTAAAGGAAAAGTTTATGAAACTGTTGAATATCGCTTTGCCTCAAAATATCTTGCTTGAAAATGATCCTTATTTATTCAGAAGTTGTAACAATATGAAAATTATGCTAATAGATATTAGATATTTTTATGTGCCAAGCAATACACGTTGACTCTGGCAACCAACCTGACTGTCGATGATCTGATGGTAAGTTACGTCGTAATAGCATGAATTGTTTGACATGATGCCTACGGCTACCTTTTACCATCGCATCGCTCGCCATCGAATTCATCCCCACACGCTGGAATATAAGTGATCTCGGACAGTGCGGTTTCAGAGGAGCTTCCTCCTGCGTACACTTAGATTGTGGAATGATCGTCCTGTCCCAGGTTTTCTCGAGGGAGTACAGCATGGGGATTTTCAAGAAGGGTATATTAAGGTTTCTTAAGGGTCGGCAACACGTATGTGACACCCCTGGTGTTTCAGGCGTCCATAGGTTACGGTAACCGTTTACCATCGGATGGGCCATATGCTTGATTGCCACCTAAGTCGTATAAAAAAAATAGCGTATGCCTTAGCGGATGCCTATGTCATAACATCTACCTGCATGCCAAATTTCAGCCCGATCCGTCCAGTGGTTTGGGCTGTGCGTTGATAGATCACTATGTCAGTCACCTTTGAGCTATACATATATATCTAGATTTAGAAATGGGGAAAATGTACGTCAGTCCTCTTACTGTTCATAAACGTAAATGTGTTTGCCAATTTGAATTAAGAACACAAATTTTATAAAAAAAATTATAAGAAATGGGAAAAATGTACCTTCAAATCAAAATCATACCTAACGTAATAGCAGACAAGGTACAATTCTAGTTGTAACAATTTAGATAAATTGAAACATATTAACTATATTTGCCTCGTTACACGTTATTCGTGTATTGATATGAATAATACAATCGCGTCAGTCTGTCAATCAATTACTGTCTAGTTAAGCAACAAACGAAATTTAGTAGGAAACGTATTATAAATTTATTAGAGGGGAACTTTGCATAAAATCAATACATGTACTATTCTCCCTTGTATTTTATCTAATTCTACTAATAAGCAGCTTGGAAACAAGCTGCTTATACAGTACTATTACAGTGTATTGGAGCGTAAAATTATAGTAAATATTTAACATAGTTATGCTTAATATAGAATAGAAAAATGTCATATTCCCCACATCGTTGATCTAGTGTGGTAGAGTAGCATCATATCAGCAAATATGATTTAATATGTTCTTCACAGTTGCACGTTACATATAACAGTTACTTAGCAATATGAACACTAATTTTAAATGTGATGAATTACACTTTATATTCTTAAATCAAGGTGCTTAATACATTTCGGCTTTGTTCTTCTTAATTTTGTGTTTCCTCTCTGTTTAACAAAATCAGCTGTCTCTTTCTTTCTCTCTTTTTATAACATTAGTATAGATTTATTGTTATGTTATATTGTGTATATGTATTATAAATAATGTAGCCATTCTAAGGATATTGTGTATCCCATAGAGTTGGTATATATATAGAAGAAAATGTTATGTAGAATAAAACAATAGGATTTTCACATCACTCTTCTCAATTCTAAGTCTGAACTGAGGAAATAAAAAAGTTATAAATTTATTGGCATCTCAGAACTATCTTATATCACTTATGTGGGCATAGATAAATAAATCTATTTTAGATTAAAAAAAAAGACTACAACTCTGGTTGTGTTATACAAATTACCTTTACACGGCACACTCCAGTCTTTTGCTCCAACACGACACAAATCTGAAAAGAGAAAAAAATATTATCTATAGATATCAATAAAATTGGAGTGTCTGTTTGTAATATTGAAATAACCGTTTTTTACTACATGCATATGAATATAAATATGGTACATACACCAATATTTCTGTTTGTTCCGGCTAATCTCTAAAATGGACCGAGTATGACGGGACTTTTTTGGCAGGTAGCTAATGTAATAAGGAGTAACTTAGGCTACTTTTATTTTAGAATAGTTCTGTATTTTAGAAAAATAAAGTTAAATTCCACGCGGATGAAGTTGCAGGAACAGCTAGTTTAAAATAAGTCTACTTTTATTCTTTATTCTTTATTGTACACACACACACATAATAGAAAAAATTATACAGAATAAATGTAATGTACAAGGGCGAGCTTATCTCTAAAAAGAGATTTCTTCCAGCAAACCTAGAAAATGTTATAGGATCGTGTATTAAATAGAAAGTCATACATACGTGTACGAAAAGAGGAGATATTAAAATATTGTTTTAATGATATTAACTATAAGTATAAATAGACATACATAAATATATATATATATATATAGACATACTTAAATGGTACATAAATAAATTATAAGACATAAGTTAAAATGTAAATTATAATATATACCTAAATATATAAATATAAAAATACGTCAGCATTGTGAATGATAATACGCTTTTAATCGGCATTTGAATATTTCAATACTAGAACTGGCACGTATTTCGTGAGGTAAAGAGTTCCACAATCGAATAGCCGTCACCACAAAAGAGCTGGAATATGCCTGCCCAGAGTGTACTGGAGTCCGCAAGAGTAATTTATTCTGAGATCGAGTGTTCATTTCTGTCGGATAGAGAAAATTAAAACGTTCGCGGAGATAGGAAGGTGCAGAAGGATTATGCAGGATGTTGTACAGAAGACTGAGAGTGTGAACATTCAGTCGAAAATGAAAGGGCAACCATTTTAACTGATTACGGTATTGAGTTATATGGTCAAACTTACGCAAACCAAACACAAACCGAATGCACATGTTTTGGAGACGTTCCATTTTGTTGAGCAGTTCACCAGTGGCATCAAGAAAACAAACATCTGCATAATCTAGGAGAGGTAAAAGGAGTGTATGAGATAATTCGACCTTCGTTTTAAATGGAAGAAATCTCTGAAGACGCCGTAAGGAGTGAATGGTCCCATATATTTTCTTACTCACATGTTTAATGTGAGAAAACCAGGAGAGGTCACTATCAATGTAAAGACCCAAATCCTTTACTGTTTTAACGTAAGAAATTATATCCCCATTGTATATTATTGAAGGAATGTGCATTGAATCTAATAAATTAAGCATATATCTGCTGCCAATTATAATCGATTGTGATTTTTTGGTATTAACAAGCAGACCATATGCCTTAGCAAAGCCACAAATACACTCGAGTTCCGTATTGATCAAGGAGATAGCATTATCAACAGATGGTAGGTCAAAACTGCGGTACAGTTGTAGATCATCAGCATAGAGATGGAAGTTGCAAGAGATCACTTTCGTCAGTGAATTGATGAAGACAGAGAAAAGTAAGGGAGAGAGAACACCACCTTGAGGGACGCCGGCAGTCAGTTCGCACCAATCTGAAGTATTCCCATCCAGGTACACGCACTGCCTGCGGCCCTCAAGTATGAATCAAACCATTCTAAAACCAGTGGAGATACGTTAAAAGAGTCAAGGATGCCAAGGAAAATATCGAAGTCAATAGAGTTGAAGGCGTTACTGAAGTCTAATAAAGTGAGGATTGTGAGCTGTTTATTATCTTTAGCAAGGTGAATGTCATCTAGTACTTTAATTAAAGCCGAAACTGTGCTATGGGCAGGACGAAACCCAGATTGAAAAGGAGATAGTAGGTTATTACTATATAGATAAAGGGATAATTGTTCATGAACAATATTTTCTAAAATTTTGGATAATACAGGTAGAATAGAAATGGGACGAAATTCGTTAAAAGAGCTAGGATTATTGGTTTTAGGAAGAGGAATCACGCGAGCATTTTTCCAGGCAGCCGGAAAAGAACAAGTGACCAAAGAATGATTGATTATGTGAGTAATTATGGGCACAAGTTCGTCAATTATTAGTCGAATCATTTGTATACAAATATTGTCATCACCGACTGCCTTGGAGGAAATGGTAAGGATACTCTTTTTAACGTCACACTGGCTAATGATTTTGAAGGAAAAAGGCTCGCAATTGGGTTTAGACTGGCGGCGAAGACTATCAAGTGTTAACGCTTTGATACTGTCAGCAACGGTGACAGGAGGCGAGGAGAAATGCTTATTAAGCGCATTATAGTCCAAATTAGAGGGACAAGTTGAAGAAGAAGATTTGCCAATACCCAATGATTTAAGAAGTCTCCAAATCTGAGCTGAATTATAGCTATGAATGGATTCATGAATATGGCGTCTCTTTGCATCTCTACACATCCGATTACACCGATTCCGCAGCTTTTTATAGTATAATAAATTATCTTCAGACGGAAAACGCTTATATTTCCGTTTAGCCTTATCCCGCCTCACCATCATATTTCTTATATTTTGGGATAACCATGGAGCAGGTAAATGCTTGACTTTAACTTTTCTGATAGGAGCATGCTTGTTGTATATTTGAAGTATGATTGAGTTAAAGTTTGCAATCATATCCTCCACTGAGTTACAATTTAATACGCAGGACCACTCAATGCCCGCAACGTCCTTCTTTAGCATTTCCAAATCAATTCCCTTAAAATTACGAAGGTCAAGAAGTTTAGGTTTGATTTTGGGAGACTGTAATCTGTACGATAAAAATATAAGGTCATGGTAAGAGAAAGGAGCCGTAAGCTGGCCGAAATTACAGACTTTATCAGAGTTTGAGACTATAATTAGGTCTAACAGAGTTGGTGTGCTGTTAGGGGGATAGTGAGTGGGTTTGAGAGGAAGTAAGTTAAGGTTTAATGAGGAAACAATAGAGGAAAGTTTATGAGCACGTGAATCGTTCTTGAGAAGACAGGTATTGAAATCACCAAGAATTAAACTGTGTTCATAAACAGGACAAAAGGACTCAAGGATGGATTCAAACTGCTGAAAATAGTCCACCCGAACAGAGGGTGAGTAGAACACACCTATTAAGAGCTTAATAGTATTCACAACTACCTCAATAAATAAATACTCCGCGGAGTCAATAACCGTGGCATCGGATTTTACTATTATGTTACTTGGTATGTTGTGACGCAAATAAATGGCTACCCCTCCACCTCCCCTGCCCATTCTGTCATTTCGAAGAAGGCGGTAACCAGGTAGACAGCACATTGTTGAAGGTAGTGACGGTTTCAGCCAAGATTCTGATACGAGAATAATGTCTATACACTGGTTATCAAAACTGTCTAACAAATCGTTATAATGAGCCATTATACTTTGTGCATTGATATGTGCTACTTTTAGAAATTTGTTGTGACGGCTAAAAGACAGGGAGAGTTGATCTCGAAGCTTTGGTGACTCTGTGTCGCTATTTGCACTAAAATATTCATCCGAGGATGTATTATAAAACGAATAATCACTACAAATATGTGACGTATCCATATATAAAAATAATAATATAAATAAAGTATAATAAATGAATAAAAAAAAAAATTATAACGTTTAAAAAGAAGACTACAGTTTAGTATGGGCCAACTCCATACCCTATAACACCTCAAGCCAGCCGGGAACCCGGGAAACACATACCTAATATTACTACATTGCAATATATAATAAAATATACTACGAGTTACATACACTTTTCTTATTAAAATGCGAAATACAAAGAGACACTATCAGAATGATAACTTACAGTTTGTTGTTATACAGTGAAACAAGATAAAAAAAGGAACATGTTAATAATGTACTTGAATGATATTTTTCATTACAGGCAACATTACAAAATTATTAAATAAATACTACATAAAAGAATTAACATAGTGATTACCTACTCAGACGTGACAATAATGACAGCTGACAGTTTAGACAGCTGTCAACAGCATAGGTGACAGAATAACTCTAATCTATTCCAATCAGGTAAATGACAAGCACAATTTAAAACATTTCATACAAAGTTTTAGTATATATAAATTTAAGGATTGGCAAATAGTTCTATAATAAATCAGTATACTACCTACATAATAATATAAGTAAAAATAAGACAACAAAAAAAAAAAAAAAAAATGGCCGCACGTATTCATACCGGCCGAAAATAAGAAATAAATTACTAATAACTATAACTTAAATTTAACCTATAAAATTAAAGGAGCAAATAAGGTCACAGCAATTCTTATTTGTTGCTCGGTCCCTGGCGCCTAGTGGTCATCGTTGCTGCTTTTTTGGTGGTTTTATCGGTACCTGCTGCAGGTTTACTTTGCGTCGAGTCTTTAACTGGGAACTTGGTGGTTAATGGATGCAACTCTGACTTCAGTTCAATCTTACGCCGCGACTGATCCGGTAGCAATATAACCACTTTTCCTTCAGATGTCCAACATTTATTAATGCCAAAATGCTTTCTAGCCTCAACAAATAGATCATGTCTAGATTTAATAAGAAATTCGGATATTGATGTGCTGGTGCCCTTCAATGCAATTTTTTTACTCCACACTTCATTACGTGCAGAATAATTATGAAAACGAACCAGTATTGGCCGAGCCTTTGCTTGTTTACTACCAAGACGATGGCTGACGGATATGTCTGCAGAACATTGATTCGTTACCTTTAACTGCTCATTTAGTATTTTAGCAATACTTTCTTTTAAATTCTCATTTGGAGACTCGGGAACACCATGTAACAATAGAACCTTCCTCCTGGAAGCTGTTTCGTGCCGATCTAAACCCAAGGAAAGGAGTTCAATCTGTGATTTTAGTAAGCTGACAGATTTCCAGATAAACGTCTTGAAGTCATGGTACTCACGGTTCAAAGCAGTGATATCCTGTTGTCTGGAAGGGGAGCTAGACATCTGATGCAGGCTTTTC